CAGGGCTTGGGCAGGTCCCAGTGCAGGACTGGGGAACAGAGATTTAGTGAAGGGATTCTTTTAAGGGTTTTTTAAGGGTGGTCAGGCCCTGGAAGGGGCTGCCCAGGGAGGTTTAGAGCCCCCATTTGGGGGTCAAAGGAAGACCTGGATGTGGCACTGAGTGCTCTGGACTTGGGACAAGGTGGGCATCGGGCACAGTTTGGACTTCATCATCCTGGAGCGCTTTTCCAACCTAAACAATTTTGTGATTCTGTGAAAACATGACAAGGAAAAGGAATGTTTGCGGTACAAAGGCTTTCTGCCAATATACCCACTATTCTACAGTTAAATTTCATAATTCTGTTGCTGGTTAGGTTAAACCACTAATTTTCATAAATGATGCAAAAATATACCTTCTGTCTTGATTTTGATACATTTGGCAAGTTTAATAGGGGAGAAAAGTGTYGGAGTTGTAAGACTATAATCTGTTTCAAGAGAGCATCACTTGAGCTGTGTTTTAGAGAGGTTTAACTCCATCCAAACCCACAAAAGGCTCTGGTAGGACCAGAGGCTGCTCCAGGCTCTGGAGCAGCGCTGGTGGTGGTTGTCTTACCCATGAAATGTACACAGAACCAGCTCTTCCAAACCGTAAAGCTGCAACAGCGAATCTGAAATAAATTAATAYTGTTGAAATTAATGAACTGAGAAATTGAAGTTCACATCGCTACAYGAACAAATTTATTAATATCTGTTGTACATAAATTAATGAGAAATATCATTATGGCAAAAATTAAACAACACTAAAATTATAGACGGCCTAAATTATGCTTCTACCAAAGAGTTAACTGGGAAAAAGCAGTGGTTGTTGGCATTTTGGTCTTCATCTGTTAAAACACCCAGAGATGTGGCTGGTCAGGGGTACAATTTTTATTGCAAAAATAATACATGTAATACATGAGGGTCATGTATTTTTAAGGTGTTTGATCTCTGTTGTTGGGAGAAGGTTTAGAGTTCTTGGTTTTGGTCTTGGAGAGTCCTTCTCTTGCTCAGTCCTGCTTTTATCACAAAGTAGAATGTTGGAAAAGGAGCTTTTCTGCCCGGGGCACGAAGAAGTGGTCGGTGGGGATGTCCCCAAGGGATGCTGACAAAACCAGGAGCTGTCAGGAGCCTGGAGAGAAACTTTGAGTGCAAAATTCGGGAATTTCTACCAGCAGAACCAGCTCAGAGCTCCTCTTTCGAGGAGAGGCCCTTTGGGGTGTGTTTTACGGGGAAAGCGTGCGCGGTTCTGGCTCTGGGAACACGCGGAGGAGCGCGTTCTCCTCCCAACCCAACACTCCAATAACAGCTCCTTTTCTTCTCTTTTTTTCTTTTAGCCATGTCCGGGCTTGTAGTCCCGCCAATGTAAAGTCACTTTTGTTTACCTACCGTAGCACCAAGCTGCAGAGGATGGGCTTAGGGGACAAGTTTAGTATATTAAGACATGCTGATGGAAGCAGTATCTTCGTGCAGAATCAGCAAAAAAAAAAAAAAAAAAAAAAAAAAAAAAAAAAAAAAAAGAACAAACAAAAAAAAAAAAGAAAAAAAAAAGACTTTGTTTAAAGATTTTATTTAAACTATTAAGAATCTACATGCAAACAACCTACTTCTTCATGAACAATTCCATTTTATTGACTGAATTTTTCTCATATTTTCACATTTCTCAGTCCTGGAGAATAAGGAAAAAGCGACGCCTATTTTGTATAAAGTTTCTGATTACGTCTTGGCTATGTCTAGTACTTGCTATGTGTTGGGAGAAACTTTGTGGATGCACCATTTTGATTATCATGAAACACTGATGAAAAATGCCTCCGAACATTTTTCTGTACTCATAACTAGATTCACAATGGTTGTGTATCTCTATAATGTGAAATATTTTTTTGTGGTGGAAAAAAAAAAAAAAAGGGGGCCAAGGAGGTTATGAGC